TGGGATGGTCTACATCTTGGCCAAGAATGACCAAAAAGCATAGTTGTTTGGCTGTGAGCATCGACCATGGCTCAGGCAGCATTCCGACCCAGTCCTGGCTTTGCATTTTGTTGCCGTGTCAGCTGATGCTTTTTGGATGAGGTTGCCTTCGGTTTCACTGGTTCAAATTCTCCGCGCAGGAGCCTTTTCTTTGGCTATGTGAAGTCAGTGGCCTCGGGCGGGAAGGGAGGCAAGGCCAACACATTCGCAGGCACCTTGGCTGCGATAGTTTTGGACTAGCGCAGAAGCGCTGGGCCCTTGGCTCTGAGCTTGGCTCTGTGAGTAGAAAAAGCACTGTCGAATTTGTTTGCTTCCTTTGTCGCTACTCCCACGCGTTGCTAATGCTGCCGCGTGAGAGAGCTGAGGTGGTGTCGCCCCGGTGCAGAACCTGCAGGGACAAGTTTGGCGGTCACTCAGAGGGGACGACCGGGAATGCGGCACTGTTGAGAATAGGTGGCAAGGATTGCCTTCGCCATCGGCTGTTTGTTGTGTGCGTGCGATCCGCGATGGGAGTGACGCCGCGCTCGGAATGGGCAAGTCATTCGTAGATGTGTGTTTGCAAAAGGCATGCTAGGAGGTGGGACTGACATATTGCGAGCTGAGAACGTCTCTCAGAGTTGAATCTCAGGTTCGCTCAGCAGCTTGGTGGGCTTGGCGGCTTTGATCAGACCTCTTGGCTTCCGCAGCAGCCGCAGTATGCGACGGCCCCAGTTGATGTTTGCCGTGGATCGGTTGACATGCCTTGCGCGCATGCAGCCGGACACATTGTCACTTTGGGGAGGCTGCCCTCACTCAAGCCATTGGTGGTGCAGGCGAGGGAGTTGTGAATATGACATGGGCGTGGCATTACAACTTTGCCTATATCACAATGTAGATTGGCTTGAAAGACAGTTTGGGTTGCACAACTATGCCGTTGTTTGCGCATTTGAGTGCTCTTGGGCGTGTCACTTGTTGCGTGCGACTGTTCTGCAGGTGTGTTCGCGCCAAAAGGCAAAGCCGCTATGCCCAAGGGTGGCACAGTTCGATCGGTGCCCTATAGCAGGCTGGGCTTGCCATCGAAGAGAGGTGAAGTTCTCTCCAACAACTGGGATCAGACTTGCGGGTCTGCGGGTCATGCACCTTGCTTGGACGGCCTGGGCTTTAGGAGCTTGGCATGCAGGCTTGCAGCGGATATGATTTGCTGTCTTGCTCAATGCCCGAATGCAAGATGCCAGGCCGGTTGGTGCCGCAGGCGGCAAGCCACCAGAGACCGAAGATCCCACGTGAACTTTCAGTTTCGCCTCTTTCGGGCTCGATGTGTCCTTCGATTCCGCCGGATTGAAGTTGCGAGTCGGACAGGCAAAGGACCCGCCTCGAACCTGGCACCCGTCACCCCAGAGGAGCCTTGAGAGATCAGAGAGCTCCAGACACGCCTATGGGCCAGACCGCTTTGTGAATGCTCCTTGCATTCCGTCAGACTCATTTCGTGATCAGGGGGTCCCGCTGTCGTTTGCGGTGAGAGAGAGAGAAGAGCATCGGATTGGTTTGTCACAGGACCTGTGGAATTTTGTGGCAACTTGGCAGTTGGACCAGAGCAGCACTGACTTCCTGATGTCCCAGGCCGCCGAACGACACCTTGGGACCTTGCTGGGGATGATCCGTTTGGGTAGTCAATCCCTTTGCCTCAAGTGAATTCAGCCACAGGGTGAAACAGTTTTGGAGGGGTATTTATTTTAGGATGTTGTTTTTCATTTTTGTTTTTTTTAACGCTTTTGGCTGCTTGGCTGCTTGGCTTCTTGGCTTCTTGGCTTCTTGGCTTCTTGGCTTCTTGGCTTCTTGGCTTCTTGGCTTCTTGGCTTCTTGGCTTCTTGGCTTCTTCTTGGCTTTTCGGCTTCTTGGCTCGGCTTTTTGCTGGTTTATGCGGCTTTTGGTGGCTTTTGGTGGCTTTTGGCGGCTTTGGGGGCTTTTTGGCTATTGGTTTTTGGATTTGGCTTAATTAACTCTTCTTCAAACATCATGGGGGGGATTGCCGCCTCCCCCCCGTTACTTTTTAGATTTCTTGCAGAGATTGAATTGCACCCCTGTCTTTTTTCGAGCGTCCAATTTCGCGAGAAAATGCTGCAAAATACGACACTTTAGGTAATCTGTGTAATCCATGTATGTCTGTATGTATGCATTTCTTCGAACATCAATAGGGGAAGCCAATCGCACCCTTTCTTGAATCATTCCACCGCCAATTGAATCATCACTTCTTCCGACATCATTGGGGGGGAACCCCCCCCCCAACCCACCCGCTACGTTTTAGATTTTCTACAGAGATTTAATTAATTGCACCCCTAGTTGAATCATCAATTCTTCGAACATTATGGGGGGCGGCTGCCGCCCCCCCCAACCCCCCCTTTTTTTTTACAGGGATTGAAATGCCCTCCTATTTGAATCATCATTGCTTTGACCCCGTCACACGATTTGTTGGTGGTGCTAGGGATGTTGGTCGGACATGCGGGGGATGTTGAAAACGATGCTGGGGATGTTGCCGGGCTAGTGTAAAATGCGTCAATTTCGCGAGAAAATGATGTCGTATTTTACTGGCCCGGCAGAGATTGAATTGCACCCCTGTTTGAATCATCACTTTTTCGAGCGTCCAATTTCGCGAGAAAATGATGCAAAATACGACATTTTAGGTAATCTGTGTAATCCATGTATGTCTGTATGTATGCATTTCTTCGAACATCATAGGGGAAGCCACCCCCGCCAACCCTACAGAGATTTAATTGCACCCCTAGTTGAATCATCAATTCTTCGAACATCATGGGGGGGGCTGCCGCCCCCCCCAACCCCCCCGCTAGTTTTTAGACTCTTTGCAGAGATTTAATTGCACCCCTATTCGAATCATCACTTCTGCGACCATCATGGGGGCGGCTGCCGCCCCCCCAACCCCCCGCTCTTTTTGTTATAGTGTTGTTTTGTTTACTTTTTTTACTGGGATTGAAATGCCCTCCTGTTTGCAGCATTATTTGTTTGACCCCGTCAACCCGCCAGCTACTTTTTGGATTTTGTTACTCACGATTTGTTGGCGATGCTAGGGATGTTGGTCGAACATGCGGGGGATGTTGAAAACGATGCTGGGGATGTTGACGGGCCAGTGTAGAATGTGTCAATTTCGCGAGAAAATGCTGTAAAATACGACATTTTACTGGCCCGGACGAAAAACTAAAAAAAAAAAAAAAAACGGAAAAAATCATAAAATAATTCCGCAGCAAATGTCATGCACAAAAGATTCTGCAGATTCGCAATCCTTGCTGCCCCCACTTGAGGCTTGTTCAACCACAGCAGATAAGATTCCAAGAAGGGATGAAGCCCTGATACAGCGCTGATATGCAGCGGTTGGCACCTGAAGCGAATCGGACAGGCGCCCGAGGTGCAGCGAGAGGCGCTGGACAACTTTCGGCCCAAGCCAGGCACAGCGCCGTGTGAAGTGGAGTGCTGGGATATTTTTTGTACCGGTATACCCGCGGGAATCGAATTTGGTCACAACTGTTCAAAGGGGGTTGCAGGGAACCATGACCACGGGGAGGTTGGAGCATGACGCACATGTTGGTGCTTGGATGTTGGGCCAAGTGGCGCAGCTTGAAATCAAAAACCTGCTGACACCGTGATGATTATGCAAGCTGACAGGCACAAGCAACGTCAGTGGACCTTTGGCTGCACACAAGAACAACCAGCTTGCGCATGCCATGTGAGCGCCCGGCTAAATCTCCCCAAAACGAATATGTTGAGGAAGGGCCACATGATTTGGTGCCTTGAGGTTGAACGGACCAAAAAACCATTCAGGAACAGAGAGTCCACAGAAGCAAAGAAAGATGCCATTTTTTGATGGGTTCCTTGTTAAGTCCGATCACAGCCATCACCACTGCTACTACCCACTACTAGTACCAGTACTAGTACTACTACTCCTCCTCCTCTAACACTACTACTAGTACTACTACTACTACTCCTACTAACTACTACTACTACTACTACTACTACTACTACTACTACTACTACTACTACTGCTACTCCGACTAACAGCTTTACCGCTGCTGCTACTACTACGGCTACTTTACTACCACTCCTATTCCTACCCCTCCTAGTGCCACTACAACCAGCACCACAACCGCTACGACTGCTACAAGCAGCAATACTTTTCCTACTTCTCCTTTTCGTACTATTGCTTTTGCGCTGATCAGTTTAAACTCTTGCTCTGACCACCACCATCACGACGACTTACTACTACTACTACTACCTACCTACCTACCTACCTACCTACCTTCCTACCTACCTACCTACCTGCCTGCCTGCCTGCCTGCCTGCCTGCCTGCCTGCCTGCCTACCTACCTACTACCTACCTACCTACCTACCTACCTACCTACCTACCTACCTACCTACCTACCTACCTACCTACCTACCTACCTACCTACCTACCTACCTACCTACCTACCTACTACCTACTACTAACTACTACTACCTACTACTACCTACTACTACCTACTCCTACTACTACCTACTACTTCCTACTACTACCTACTACTACCTACTACTAACTACTACTACTACTACTAACTACTACTACCTACTACTACCTACTACTACCTACTACCCGAGCAAGCAAGCAGTTGCACAATTTTGTCCAAGGTCTGTTCATGGGCTACCTGAACTCTCTGGTCAGAGCAGTGAGAAGTGGCAAAGGAATCAGGTGAATTGGAGCCCGCATAGTGCTACTTGTTGGGCTGGGCATGCAATCGCGTGCCTGGGCATGATATAAAGATGGATGAAGTGGAATGGAGCGCTTGGCAAAGTGCTTGTGAGCTTCTGCTGTCAGAATTCTTGAGCCGTAAGTCGTGCAGAAATGCACCTGCCTGCTGTTGCCACTTGATAGTCAGCTTGTACGCTGCGGCTGATGAGTTAGTCTTGGGCTAGTGAAATGGGGTGGCTTTGTCGTGCAG